TTCAGATTAGTGCAAACAAACGAAAAAAGATATATCTTATTTTTTTCAAATCAATAAATACAAATATTTGTTTTTCTTATAATTAGGAAGAAGATTTAGGCTTTAATAACAAGCACAATTTAGTATGGCTAGGAAGCAATGAGCAAAGACCCCAACCCAGCAGACGCATGTTAAATTCAATATGCATTACTTTTGTGTGCAAGTATCTGCAGGATTTGAAACAAAAGATAGAAGTGATGGCTAGGATTTTGTTAACCTTAATTTAAACTCTGCTCCTAAAAGTATCACAGTACCACCTTCATTTCATCATTCCTTTAATGCTCATATTATTATTTATTTTTAAAACAAAATGAATTAGCATATAAAATTTGGGCATGCTGACATGAAATAGTTCTTTAACCTGAGGATATGTCAAAAAATAGACAGAAAACCAATAATGGCAAAAGATCATTATGGGTGGGAACAAGGAAGAAAGAAACATAGGAAAAAATGTCCATCAGGAAAAGCCTTTCTTTTTGCACCCCCTCCCATGTCAAAAAAAAAGTGATGGCATTCTTTGGGGTTTTTAGAGTGCTTATAAGTATCCTTTTCAAGTGATCAGATGCACAAGGGCAGATCAAGGTAGAGGGAGAAAAAATTATGTGAGGGCACACCTCCCCAGTAGGCAAGTCCCACCCAGTCGGGGCCCCCCTCAACTTACCCCTGCTCCTGCCTCTGCGGTGCTGTTCCTCATCATGGGGGCCTCGATCTAGTTCCCACCCCTTCCCTCCCCCATGGACTAACCTGCTGGGCTGGGGCACACGTGCATGCATGCGGGCACTCAGCCCCCGCACCCCAGCCTCAGATCGGCTCCAAGATCTACCAGTGGATCAAGATCCACTGGTTGGTGACCACTGATATAGTCTGAGATTCTGAAGAAGGTGCACTGAAAATCTGGATTCATGTAGAGACCATTTGAAAAAGTAGAAGTTGTTATACTAGAGTTTACTTACTCTACTTACTTTTTCTCATTTATTAATATGAGATATATTCTGAATTTTAGAAAATTAACAAACAGAAGCAGTTTTGCCAACTCTCATGGTTGTTGGCATTGCTCTTAAAGTCTACACTTTTGGATTGTGAAAAACTTAGATCTTTCTTTTATATATATAAATATGCACTAAGTTTTTCACATTCCCGAAGCACAGACTTTAAGAACAACTCCAAAAATCATGACAGCTAGCAATACTGCAGAAGTGACCTTCCAAGATGTAAGAGGAATAGTAGCTCAAAGGTAATTCACAATCTTTTCCAAAGAGCAGAGTCTGGGACAAGTCATCCTTACGATAAGTACGATCATCTCTTCATTATAAGGTGCTCAACTAGTGCACATCACAATAGCACACCAACCACCAAAGCCCATCACCGTAGCACTTTACCTGGCCACTGCAACGGGTAGCAGAATGACCACTTTCAGTATAAGGCAGGGAGGGTTTGGCAACCTATGGCTTATAGGGGCAAGGTGGAGGCTTGTGAGAGTTATAGCTCCATGGGCCTGATCCCCTCAGCAGCCTCATGCCCTGCCCTCCCCCCAGTTTCATGGAAGATGCCAGTGCTGCAAGGAAAGGTGTCAGGCTCAACACAGCTACCTGTAATGGAGCCACTGCCTTTCTTGCTGACAAAATGACCTGTATTGATTGCTGCACAAATGGGACAAAACGGCAACAGCTACCCCAGTCGTGGATGCAATAGGGTTCCTATGCCCAGTGGGGGCTGTTGTGTTAACCCCCAGGCTGTTGGCCATTCTGACACCTCTCCCAGCAGCTGCAGCACTTCTGAAGGGTGAGGAGCATGAGGCTAATGAAAAGATCAAGGCTACATTTCTGTTGGAGGCTGCCCAGGAGAGATTGGGGGGAAGTAGGGGGATAGGAAATTGCCCAGCAAGGGGGGGAAATAAGTGACCCGTGGTAGTAACTGGGTCACAAGTGGCATCCCACCACTGTTAAAAGGTTGCTGACCTTTGGGATACGATTTTAAACACCTTGCTTTAATTTAGTATATGTATCAAGTTTCCTCACAATTCCACAAAAACAAATGAGAGAAATAAATAAGAGAAATAGAAATCATAGCAAAAATGGGCTTACCTGTCCTATCAGATAAAAAGAAAATATAAGACCACTCTAATGCAAATAAAAGATTTTAAAATCTTTTTCTTGGAGCGTCATTACAAAATGATTAGTTAGAAGATGCACACAGATGGGTTAAAAGTTGTAAGTTGTAGATAACTGCCTTTCATAATGAATGCAAACCCTTGCTATTCAGTGGACAGTACTACAGTGATGACCATTTTTATCTGTACTTTTTTAAAAAGAGCTACAACGTTGACTTAGTCAAACAGACCATTACAGTAATAAGTGAAAAATAAAAATACCATCTTGTATACATATCCTAAATGCAACTCTAGATTTGTGAGAAACATGATCCTCAACTTTAGCTGCTGGGGGACTAAAAGAAAGGAATGTTACTAACAGAAGGCACAAGACACACCTACCTTTTTCCCCAATTACTTCTTATTAATTTGAAAAACTAACATTTGGACACAAATAGGAGGCCTTACTTAAAATACAACTTTAAGAGGATATCAATTATTTGTTCTGAAAATATCTGTAATTATATTAAAACTCAGACAACTAAGCTATTATTTAAAAAATCCGGGAATTTTCAAAGTAGTTTTAAATTCTAGTTCGGAGCCTTAGATGTGGACTGAGGAATGAACAGGACAGGTAGGGCATGGTAACTGCACAAGGGGCACCTATGCACGTGACAGACCGCTGCTCTGACACATGCTAATTAGCATGTGTCAGAGCAGACTTGATTAATCGAGTCTGCTGGGGTGTGCTAATTAACACGCTCCAGCAGCCTCCGTGTCACATGTATTCAATGTCCTCCCATTTCAAAATGGCAGTGGGGACCCTTTAACTAAAGCTCAAATGAGCTTTAAAGTGCCCCTGCCACCATTTTGAAGCATGGGATGCTGAATACACATGACACTGCAGGCACTTTAATTAAAGCAGCTTTCACAGCCACTCTAATTAAAGCGCCCTCCCCCTCCACCCTGGAGCACGTGTATAGATGCCCAAGGTGCCTGTAAACTACTTTCCTCATCCTTTAATCCAGGGGTCTCAAACTCACTTGGGGCCCCAGGCCAGATCTGGACCACAAGCCTCCTTACAGGCTGGATCCAGCCTGGGGCATGTGGGTTACCACAACAGCCAACACAGCAGCAGGGTGGTCTGGCAGCTGGTGGCAGTGAGTTGGGAGGAAGGAAACTAGGATGGCAGCACAAAGCCAAGCTCACTGCCAACAGCCATGGCCAGAGAAGCAAAGGACCCCATATCCTGCAAGAGATCATTGTCATCGCTTTTGGTTGTTTGCTGGTAGACCAAAAAGCTGGATAGAGAGACTCAACAGGCTAGATCTGGGTCACCGGCTGTATGTTTGACACTCCTGCTTTAACCATTTCCAGGAGCCGCTCAACAGCACCCCAGCTTCCTGGTACACATGGAGCATGGACACTGCATTAATTTGTCAATGCTCATAGTCCAAGAGTTTTCTAGGGAAGCCAGGATCACAAAATACTTTGAAAGCCAGAGCAATACTCTCTTCCCCATAATCTTGTTCTCAAACTAGCCAAGGACAGAAAGAGAGTGTAGTAGATGCTACTGAAAACTGCAAAATGCCAGGATATCCTTCGCCTCTTTGGTGGTCATCCTGGAGCCCTTTACACTTATTTACACATCACTACAGCATAAAAGGAAAAAGCAGGCCTCCATTAAAGAAAAAAAACAATTTTCCAGGTTAATGAATGCTTAAATAACCCTTAAAAACTAATGCAAATATTTTAGAAAAAAATTGTCATAAAAAAAAAAAATCACTTAAGCTGATTTTTCAATTGTTACTAGGATATAAATTCAGTCTTCTTACTCTATAATACATACCAGGATGTCAAGACGACAGCCTTCTGTTCAACTAGATTTATTATACTGCATACATAAACAAAATAGCAACTTGTTCTCTTTAGAGGTGAATATATTGTTTATATTTCTCTTTGTTTTCCCTTCAAATGGGAAAGACTGAGAACTGAATAGTTTGATAATATTATTTTAAGTAATGCCTACCACTTTAAATACAGGACCACTAGTAGTTCTTGTCCTTACCTGGCAGAAAACATTGTTGTAGCATTAGCACAACTTACATCATCCGTGAAGCAATATAATTCAGGCTTTTTGCAAGAGTTATGAGCAAGGCTATTACAATTTTGATTTCACTGACTTCTCAAGTATCATATTTACTTACTTCTACTCATACCTTTTTCTCAATAGGCAGCCCTCCCAAACTGGGGTGCGAGTCTTAAGCAGGGAAACTGATTTTATTCATAATACTAGAATCATGGAGATACTATGGCAAATGACTGTGAAACTTCTTCTGGATCAGCAAGCAGAAAGGGCAGCTATTTTAAAAAGCGAACCCACTACCATTGGCTCAAATGATGATTTCATCAACACTACTAGAACCAGTTTTAAGTCTGACTGAGGAGTTATGGTTCTAATTCAGAGATTGGCAACCAACAGCCTGCAGGCCAAGTTTGTTGTTTGAGAAGAACCCAAAAATAAATGGCCTTTTGTTTCATCATCTTTGGCACATGATCTTCCTGAAACCTTTGTGAGCAGAGCAAGATTTTTTTTACATATCTTTTACTGGACCAACTGTATAGCTATGGGAGATGTTAGACAAGCTTTTGGGCACTCTGTGCTTCTCATGTTTCCTGGACTATCAAGGCTACAACAACACTTCAAGCTTCATGAAAGATCTTAAGCAGGCTCTTAAGGAATCTGAGAGTTGTTGGATGAAGGAACAGTGTGTGTGTGTGCATGCGTGCATGTATGTATAGATCCTTCTTTCCCTCTTCTTCTCCCTCCCCTACCCCACCCAGAATAGCTTGATGTGCACACGTGATGCAGGTGTTGCCTAGGGACAACTAGTGGTGGCACAAGGTGAACTGCCCCTAGTTGTCCCCTGGGAATCAAATGTCCACACACATCTGGATGTGGCCCTAGTGTCAATCAAGAAGACATGCCATACTGAAACAGTCTCACATAAAGAAAGTCCCTGGAAAGGGATGGGCAGGGGACTCTGAGCTGGCTGCACTGTAAACCAGATGAAGTACTCAAGTGGCCCTACTGAGCAGTCCAAAGTGATAGGTCAAATGCTAATGTAATAGGTCAGGTAAAGACTGAAGTCAGGTATTTCATATTTCTCGACCACATCATCTAACATCCTGTGTAGAGGCAGAGAGCCTGCAAGATGAATGAAATGCAGAAGGTTATTTGTGCTTACATAGTGATTTCAGAGTTGCTCAAATGCTCAGTGTGTCAATTGGAACACTGGTGCCTGGAAACTGGTAGGCTTTGAAATTTTTATGCTGGTATGAAAGTAAATAAATGTTAGAGACATTAGAATGCCTCTGGAGTCCTTTAGCATAGGGAGATGAAAATCCCAACGCCTTCAAATGGCCAATCTTTTACTGTGGGGCTTGCACTTCTGAAAAACAGGGTCTTGTAAAACCAAGAGTTCTGTTGCCACAGCTAAATCCATCTGCAGAGATATCTGCATCCAAAGCCACCTGTAAGAATGCCAGCCACTAGTTGGACCGCTAAAAACAGGAACAAGAATTCTTGTGTAGGGAAGGATGTCTGCCAGTGACTATATTAATTTGTGCTGCTATGGCAATCCAATGGTACCTGTTAACTTATGACCTTCAACTGTACACTCAAATCCAAATAGGATCTCTTTCCAAAATGGTCCATTCAGTGCCTCTATCTTTGAATTACTTAGTCCCTTCATTGAAGGGTGTCACCACTAAGGAAGACAGCACCGGGAAGAAATACAGTATAAGGCTTGTACTCCTCCATCGATGAGGCTCAGTATACCTTACCTACTCTCATTACAACTATTTCTGGCTCTGACAAGTATCTGAAACACAATTAGCTATAGGGAAGAATTAATTGAGAAATTTGAGAGGAGCAAATAGTAGAATTTCAGAATTATTTTTCCCTCCTCAACACTGTAAAGTTAGTAACAGCTTAGCTATGCCCAGGCAAATCTTCCACTGCTACAGGATAACTGTTTTTACAAAACTGATACGATTGGTGTGGATTTTCTGCTGACCTCATCAGAAGTGCTGCAGCAACTGGTGGCCCTGGAGATGAACTCCCAGCTGTGCCTGAAGACCTGTGCTCTCTTCAAGTCCATGGGCTAGGTGGTGGGGTTATAGAGAGGTGGCCTGTCCCAGCCCGTGGTGGAAACAGTGCCACTTCATGGAGGGCAACCATGTGCTGGTGATGTCTCGCAGGTGACCAGAGACTACCTGGCCAAAAATCTACCTGATCAAATTGGACCCTAACCACTTTGCTTTCCAGCTAGTACAGACCCTCATCCATTAAAACAGCACAGAAGCATGATCGAGACAAGGAGCATACCCAGGGCATGCTAAATTGGTGCAGGAGTGGGATGGCTGCCACTCCTACTGGGATGACTGCATGATGCTGATGAACCTGGTGTGGAAGCAGCTGGGCCTGCACTGTAGTCCCATAACAACTATGCAGATGACCAAGCAGAAGAGCTGCACATACACCAGCATCTGCTGCACCAACACAAAGTTGCCCCCCAAGACTGGCCCTCTGGCATCTGGAGAGCCAGGTTGACATGGAGCAAGCTGCCCACCATCTGTCTTTCCTGGGTGTCACGAAGCTGAAGTATGGGCAGGTGCCATGGGCATCAAGCTGGTAAAGGACATCTAACCATGCCACCTGCACTTTAAAATTATTTCCCAGGACCAGTGAGAAAACACTGACCACCTGGGTGTTGGGCTGAGATGGGGCAATGCCATAACTGCTTATGGAGTATGTGGCAGGCACAAACCATGATGCTGACCTGGCACACGCTCACTGCCTTTGGGACCAACAACAGGCCCACATGTGTCTCCTGCTTCATGGAGATGGTGGCCAGCACGCCCAACTGCCTGCCACACAATTGTGAGATCTAACTGGTGTGTGCCACTTACCAGCACTGCCTGGGATGCAGCCTTACCAACAGTATTTTCAACATGAAGTTCAAGCTGACAGTGGCCAGGCCCCAAGCTCATCAAGATCAACCTCTGCATGGGTAGCTTCTACCTGCATGACTGGATCCACAATTTCCTCAATTTGGAGACCACGCTAGTAGCAGTCATGGTGGCCTGTGGCATGGCACCCCTGCTACCTGCCTAGTCCTGGCCCCACACCCACCTGGTGGACATCATGTATGTGGTGTCACAGCACCTGCAGGCCCTCAAGTCTACTGCCAGCCTGGAGACACTGCAGGCACTGCACAAGTGCAATATTGTCTGCCTCAACCTTCTAGATGACAAGGACATCTCCAGCAAAGAGCCCTACAGCAATGTGGCCTGTGCTGACCCCAGCTGCCACAAGACCTGACCCCAGTAGCTCACTTCCTCTCACTTCAATTAGCCCCTAAGGGGCTTCCAGAGATGGCCAAGACCCCATAAGACCCTGACCCTCCATCCCGGTATCTCTTTCCCCCACAGCGAGGACACCAGGGATTCTAGAGGACAATGAGTTATGTTTCTCAAATGAGTTAAAATAGACAAATCCTCATTTTAAAGCCAGCTCCATATTTTCTTATAGGACTTGCAAACTCTCAAATTATTAAACAGACGTTCTGTAGATAAAAACCTGGTGAACAGTTGCACATATCAAAATGTTTGACTTCAAGGAGTTTTACCGTCAAAAGTAAATACACATACCTTCCCAATTTATCCTGTGTCTACATTAGCATTTCATGTTTTTTGGCTATCATATCTGTATAAGTGAATTTTCAGAAGATTTTTATTTTTTCAAAAAAAAAAAAAAAATATTCTGGAGAATAACAACTCAGTTAATACTCAGAAAACCCTATGGACTGAATCTGAAGAAACAAATAGAGCTAGGATTTATATCTTTTTTTTTTTTTGCTTAGCCTTGCAAAATATTGTTTTGTTAAAAAACATGGACATAATCATTGTCCTGTATTTTTATTTTGTTGCTTATATTTATTCCATTAAGCTTGATTGATAGTATATTTATTCCATTAAGCTTGAAATTGTGCAGAAATAAAAATAAATGGACCTTACCATAATCACTTGAGTAGTATTTCAAACCAGACATTATTTTGGAAAATATTTTAAGATAATTTCACGTTCTGAAGAAAACATAACAAAAATGCAATCTATTTAGGATTTACACTACATTGGCATCATTATTATTACATAATTATAGGTCTAAAATGTTAGTTGCTATAACAACTTGGAAATGCTCTACCTTCATTACAGTCATTTGCTCTCTCTCCTTATGCATGCTGATTTTTAACAGCAACTTGCTCCTGAAGAATTCTTTACTGGGCAACCTTATTTGTTAAAACTCCTGCTGTGTCAACCTGTGTCCTGCAGGTTCCACAGACAAATCATCGTATCTTGCTCAGAAGAGTTGCAAGATGTACAAACTCTCTTATGAACAGAGTTCCTGATTTAATTATAATCTCTACCCATGGATGGCAGAAAAGCAGCAATTTCTCTAGTGCAACTGCCATCTATATCAAAGGTAGACTTCACAACTTAGACTTTAATGAACAAGAATAAAATGACAACTGCAATCCTCCCAAATACAGCCTATTTCAAAGGCTATATCAAATCACATACAGAATGTGTTTCTCAATTATCTTTAAGAGTATCTACCCAAAAAAGACAAACCCACCCTTTTCTTTCTATTGCACTGCCCTCTCAAACCTGAGACCCAGCTTTAACTTTTGGCATTAGCAGACTAGTAAAACAGCATCGGGGGGAGGGAAGGAGTGTGGGGGCACTGAGAAAGATGCCAAATGGCATGAAAGACTTCCTTTGGACTGCAAGAATTAAAAACAATGGTGACCAAGTTAAGAATGGTATATTTTATTTGGAGTCTGGCATCCATTACAAATATGAACCTAAGGCCCTTGATGCATGTTCATATAAAGGCACCAGGGGATCTGATCCCTAATCCCCAATCCAAACAAACTGCATCTCCAGTAATGCCACACGTGCATCATACCCACCTTCCTTTTGAGGAAAAGGAGGTTTCAAAGAGCTACGATCTTGCTGTTTCTAGTATCCAGGAAAAACAATACTACTCGTATCAAAGAAAGTTTAGTATTACAGTGAGAACTGTATCAAAGGAAGTAGTTCAAAGAGGAATATTTCTGAACAGAATGTTTTATTAAGGCAAATTAGCCACAACCTCGCCAAAAGAAATCTACAGCACTTTAAGCACAGGACAAACCAAAATTAATTTATAACTGAAAGTTATTTCTCTTATCTTGCTGTGATTATTTTCCCCAACAGAAATAGCTGGCGGTCTACTACATTAGTAAGCAGCCAATATTAGGATGCCAGTCTCAATCGGACCTTCCAGGCTTGTACCCAATTAGCTACCTCCAACTAAGGAATACTGAAGGTGGATTCCATGCTTAGAATGGTTTTTGCCAGCTGAAGAATCCCAGGCAGGCTAGACTGCTTTAAACCAAACTAATTTAAATCACTGATTTAAATCAGCAAGCCAAATGCTGGATTTAAATAATTGATGTTTATCAACTTTCCCACTGTATATATTTTTTTGCTTTTTTAAAAAAAGGTGTATTTTCATTAATTGATATAATAAAACATGTTGTTTTTCAACTAAATCTCCAGTTTTACAGTAGATTAGGTACATATGTTTCTTAAATGCAAACTAAATAGAGATATCTAAATATATCTGTATATATGTGACGGGCTGGCTGGCAGTGACCTGGCCCAGGGATTTTGAAAGGGCAAAAGATGATTGGAGGACTTGAGATTCCCTTTCCTCACCAACCTGGCAATGATTTGGGCCAGGGGCTTTGAAGGGGTAAAAGATGATTGAAGGACTTGGGATTCCCTTTCCGCACCAATCAGGCCCCAGAGACTCACCTCTCCCCTCCCCCCCCATGTCCCGATTAGCCCCTTGGGT